ATATACAAATTTTAGAAAAGAATAAATTAATTTGTTATTAACCACCCAACAAATCTTCTTGATAGTGGAAAAAGTTACACGTAAAAATGGCATAAATGGTGGGGGATAATACAAGTTTAAGCTCAATTTTACTTTGTAAAATTGAACTTATACCTGTACTACCCAGGGTTTAACTATTAAGTATATATTTTATTTTTTTACATAATGCTTATAAATAAATAGTAATAAAATATAAAATTAAAATTAAACTAATTTTAAATGAAATATGTATCACAATATTCCAGAAAATGTTTTTGAATCTGAATTTTTTGATTTGTTTGTAGCTTGCAGAAATTTGGCTCCGAGTATTATAAGAACAAAAAAGATTCAAATGTATTCAAAACATGAAGAAATTCATAAATCAACATGGTCTCATGACTTGGTAAATCCAATAATACAATTATTGTTTTATAATCTTCCTAATATGTCTTGTCTTGTCAATGGTAAGCCTTTGAATGATTATTTTATGACTATTTATATATATTTTCTTAGTTGTTTGTAAATTTTATAGGAAAATGAACTGAAGCCTAGCAACAAGAGAAAGAAACAATAGGACAGATGGTCCAGGGTTGGCAAATTGACCAGTCCATTGAGAACAGATGGACTTTGGACTGGTCCATTGCCATTAATAAAATACTAAACATGGATAAAGTGTTACACTAATGGACCCAATGGACCATACATTTTCCAACCCTGGGATGGTCCATGGAAAAAACCAGATATTCATGGTTTTATATTTGGAAAATTCTTAATTTGGGAAATTTGCTATAATAAATTATTGAAATTTTCAAAGAATGGTTGGGAAAAGATTTTATCTTATTTCAGGAACAAATATATCAACACTGAAAAATTTTTCAACATTGAGACGATATTATACGGCCTAGGTTCTTGTTCGTTTTTGTATAAAACTTGATTTTTTTGTATTTCTAGTACTTTATTAACTAAAAAAAGACTAAATTTTAAAATGTTTACAGTATTTTCGTGATTTTTTTCAAAAATTCTTATAATAAAAGATTTAAAATTATATCATATAAAAGCTATAGTTTTGGAGAATAAACTTTACTACTTTAACGCATCTAGATTTTATCTCTTTCGATATTTTTTTTTTTCTAGATCTAAATCGTGATCTGCAAAAAAATTTATTAATATTAAAATCATAAAAATGCCAAAAAATGCAGAACTGACTGAACTTGACCGTGGAAAAGTTTTGGGTCTTCATCTAGCTGGAAATAGTATGTCAGAAATCTCAAAAAAGCTCGAAATTTCAAAGGGTAGTGTTTGCAATACCATAAAACGTTATAAGAACTCTGATAATGTAAAAAGTGCACCTCGAAGTGGAAGACCCAAAACTTTGAACAAATATGATCAAAAGGCATTAGAAGAGATAGTAAATCAAAACAATCGCAACTCTTCTGGTCAGATGCGAGAAAATTAGGTATGGGTTAGTTCCGGCCATCATCCACTAGCCTTGTGTCTTTAATTGTGTATTGCGTCACGAATTGACTTGAGTTACGTATTGTGTCAAGAATTGTCTTGCATCACGAATTGCGCCTTACATCCTTTGCATCATGTATTGTGTTTTGCGTCACGCATAACACCAATTGCAGCTTTTAAACCAATATAACTGTTTCGCCTTTTGTATTTAATTAATAAAATTTAGGCAAATAAACTTATTATTATCTAAATTTATGTAAACCACGAAATTTTCTTATTAACTCGAAATCAACCCGAACTCGACCTGAAAATTTCGGTCAGGTTCAGGTCGGTCTCAGTTGGCCTTTAAAACATTCGGTTGGCACTTAACCCACCCGAAACCGACCCGTTAGGAGCTTTAATTCACCTATTGAAACAAAATTTTACAAAAAGTGGGCACTTTGTCTTTTTAAATTTCTATGATTAAAGACTGATTCAGAATTTTGGCTATTAATCAATTTTCTTACAATAATTGATATAGAGTTATTTGTATTTTTATAAATTGGTATGACTTTTTTTACGTGACAAAATAAACCTAATACCTATTTCTTTGGAATTCTAGAATCTCTAAGTGATGTTTTTACCTAATTTTATTAATATAGTTTTGTCTTGTATCACTTAAATCAGCACATGAAATAATTGTTTTCAAAAAAATCAACAAAAATTAAAAATGTCAACTCGTGAAATTGATCAAAATATTTCTTCTGCCTCTACTACCTCAGTCACTTTTGATACTGCTACTACTGATACTAGCAATAGTACTATTAAGAGTAGAGGGAGAAAAAAAAAAGTAACTAATACCAATACTAATGAAGATAATAAAGAAATACAACAAAATTTGAGAAGAAGTAGTCGAATTAAATCTAAACAAAATATTGAAAAAGTTGATAACACTGTGATCAGCAGCGGCACTGATAGTACCGCCAAAGCTAAAACTGATGATATTGATCCTGCTAGTATTGCTACTATTTCTACTGATAATAATGATAAAGTCATTGATTTGGAAAAATTCAATAATAATATTACTACTATTAACACTGCCTCCAGTAATACTATCATTGCAGAGGAAGAAGTCAGAAAACCTACCAATAAAAGAAAAAAAAGTGACAAATCTGATGAATCTACAAAGAAGAAAACCAAGAAGCAAGATGAAAAACAAATTGCTGCTACTAGTTCTTCGTCCTCAAGTGCTAACAATAATGCAGCTCAGACTGATGAAAAGAAAAGAGCACGTCTAAATGAAAAGAAAGATAAAGAACCCGAAGAAAAGCGTCTTGCAAAGTTTCGTCCTAGTTGTTCAATGGTAAAATTTTAAAAGTATGTTTTAATGATATCAATAATATTTGCTAATATTATTATTATTTATATATTTACAGAAAGTAAAAGAACGTATTGAACGTGCAATGTCACAAAGAATGTTTTTGGTTGATAGATCCGAAGTTAATGAATTACATCATGAGTTTGTAGTATTAGGATCAGTTGGAAACGTAAATATCATAAAAATATTATGATTTATTTATGCATTTAATTGCCTATATTTACATAGTTATTTACATATTTATTTAATTATTATAAAGGTCTATAATATTGAGATTTCAACTCTTCCCAAATGTAATTGTCCTGATTTTGCTGTAAACGGTAAATTTAAAAATTTGAGAATTCTTGATTTTTTAAAAATAAAAAAAAGCAAATATTTTGATTCTTACTTTCTTTTGTTCATTATTTATTTCCTTTGCTCAGGGAATTTTTGTAAACATATCGTAAGTTAATAATAATTATAATAATAATAATTTATCTAATGATTTATTTATTAATTTCACAATTACCTTTCTTGACATAAAATATAAATATAAATAGTTATTTGTGTATTTGAAGGTCCTTAGAGTCAATCCTGATAGCAATTACATCTATCAAAAAGCATTATTGACTAGCGAACTTAGACAAATTTTCCAAAATGCTGCACCAAATCCAACTGTATTGGTAAGCTAACCAAATATATAAATTTATTTAATAATTTATTTTAATAATTTACTTATTTGTTCATTCACTATTCAACAGGCAAGTCAAAAAGTTCGTGATCAATATGCAAAGATTATTGGTGGTGTTGATTCTAGCAGTGATGATGCTAGCATTGGTAAAAGACCTCGTCAACCAATTGAGGGTGATTGTCCCATCTGGTATGTTTGCAACTTGTGTAATAATAAATATTTTGATTATGATATTTATAGAAACCTCTAATCTTAATTACAATCAGTTATGAGACATTGTTGGAAACTGAAAAACTCGTTTGGTGTAAGGATTCTTGTGGAAATAATGTTCATGAGGTTTGTTTCAACCAATGGAAATCTTCAAAGCATAGCAGTGGTAATGAGGTAGGAATAATAAACAAAGGAATATTTAGATAATTAAGATTTATCATACAATATTATAGGAATAATAGACTGTTTGTTTTAGATTACTTGTGTTTATTGTCGTAATAAATGGGAAGATGAGAGCAAAATAATTTCTTCAAGTAATGATGGATATATTAATTTGGGTGAAGCACAAGGAATTTCTGGTGTAAGAGGTAAATAAATATTTTAGCATTCTATGGATTAGAAGTAAAATTCGCTTTTTAAAAAAAAAAAATTTTCTAATATAATATATAGATACATCTACATATAATGAATTTTACTTGAATCGTCATCGTTGGCATTAAAAACTTTAAGATATATGAGGGATAACCTGGTTACTATTATTTAGTCCAAGTTAAATATAATTAATTGATTTAATATATGATATTATTCATTTCTTTATGTAAATAAGATCTACTTTTTTTCTAGAAATTTATACATGTATTATCAAAATTATCCAACATCTGATCATTCTATATAAATTGATTGTTTTGATTACTTTTCCAAATTGGTTGCCAATCTGCCAAATATTATTATATACAAAGAATGGATATTATTTTTGAGCAAAAACACTATTTTTCAATCTTTTGATAAACTGTGCATAAAATTTGTATTATCACCATTATAACCTTTATAAACCTTTTTCACCTTCAACCACTACCAGCATTTTCACAGCATTAATTATCCATCACTTATTTATAGCCCTTGTCACCACCCATCACCTTTACCTCCGGCACTATATACAAAACAAAATAAATTGCTTTTTATTATTTTAAAATATTTTTGATTTGCATTACATAAAGGTCATTAAACTTACTTAAAAAAACAAATATATTTATCTTCCTGTCCCTCAATGTTCACATCAACAACATTGTCAACAACAAGGTATTGCCCAAATGGGATATGTGACAACATTAGATTATCAAGACATAAATATTTGACAACCATTTTTGGTTACAAGAAAATTTCTTGAGTTACATGTTATGAAGCTAAAGCATTAATTATAATTGTTTATTCAATACCAATCAGCAATAAAAATACTCTAATACCCTTCAATGATAATCAGCAATAGCAATACTCGCCAATCCATTGATTATTAACCAATTCTAAATTTAGTATTCCCTGGTGGAGCATCAATAGGATGCACAGCTGGATTTGTGAATTCAAAGGAGCCCACACTGCAATGAAATGCTTAGAGAGAAGCAGCATATAAGATATTAACATCTAACCCAATCGAATAATTCTTGACAAGTATGAGAAGTCAATTTGGAATTCATGTATTTATAAGAATTGTATGAAGTGAGAAATGTAAGACCGTCATTTAATAGTCCATTGGGATTATGGGGTAGATTATTTTTAAAAGAAAGGAATATGAGCAAAATACGAATAATAATATTCTAATATAGTAATGTAATTTATACATTACTAATTTTATAGTCAATAGAAATATCCTAAACCTGACAACAAGATAACTTTTGATCTATGTCAGAAAATCAATCTGTATATTTAATGCTCAGAGATAAAAAAGTACCGATTGAAATTAAAAGATTTTTGATAGTGAAAGGAAAAAGAGGGTATTGCTATTTATTTTATGATAAATTTTATATAAATTGTGTAGATTGTAAACACGTGATATTATAAATTTTGAAGCTAAATATTAATGCTTAGATTATTTAGGAAAGGATATTTACATGACATCATCAGTAATATACATTTGCCATTTTTATTTTAAGAGACAAATTTTCTTAGATGATGATAATAATAAATTATGAGCATAAATGATTCTTTAGATAAAGAAAGTTGTGAATATAAAAATTTTAAAAAGCACAACAGAAATCAATACGATAATAATGTTATTGATGATGATGATAAAGAATGTCGTCTTGAATTTTTAATGAACGATTTCGATGAAATTTATAATCTGAAAAATCCAATCAAAGACAGCCTCAAAAGTCAACATACCATTTCTAGAGATAATGATGAGTTACGACCAGGTAAAGAAAATGGAAAAGTTACTACTGCAAATAATAACAAATATGATAAAGATGATACTAATTATAACAAAGGATATAACAATAATAATAAACGACAGAAATTTGATGACAGCAACAATGATGATGATGTTGAAAAAAAGGAATTGACCGGGAATAAAAATCAAATTGAAACTGAACTTTATATTAATATGGATCAGTGTCAGTATGATATTCCTGGGCAATATCCAATTGAACCTGAACCTGGATCAGAACTTGGATCAGAACAAGATGAAGAAGACGAAGAAGAGATAATTCGCGAAAAGGAGGAGAAAGAGAAAAAGAAAAAGAAAGAGAAAAAGAAAGAGAAAGAGAAAGAGAAAACAAAAGTAAATCGACAAAACAAATCAAATAAAAAACAAACAAATCAAAGCCAGGTCCAAAATCAGGCAAATCTGAATCAAATCCATGGCCAAATCCAGAGCAAAATTCAATCGAATCAATACAAAATTCAAATCCAATCCGATCAAAGTCAAACAATTCAAATTCAAAACCAAAATCAATCGGATCAAAATCAAGCTGAAATTTCATCATCAAAATCTCATAATAATGACAATGATTCTGATAATCCCGATAATTCAAGCAAAGATTTGTCAAATAATAAAAGAGACACTAACAGATATTTTGTGCACAACGGATATGATGATACTTATAACAATTCAATAATCACAAAATCAAAATTTTCAAGAAAAAATCAATCCAGTCCATGTCTATCTCCAAAGTTCTTAGCACTTAATATAATACTCGGAAATAATAGCAGATATTTTGAAATGGAAGTAGAGGAGTGTGACGGGTTTGTATTACATGAAGTCATATGGGATAGATTTCACAAAATCACGGATGAGTCAGAATTTTATGAGCTTGTAAAATTTATTATAGATTGTTCTTTGAATTGTTGGATGAATGGATTTGGAATCATCGTGATTTTGAATGCGAATTGTGATGAAATGAGAATGAATCTTTTAACCAAATTTATAAAATGCATTCGTAGCTTTTGTGATATTCAAATAATAGATATCATTGTGATAAGTGAAGTTGCTGAATCAAACATATATGTGCTTCGAGAGGCTGGAGCTACGTTATTAGTGACTCATAGAGAGAGTATGAAGAAATCTTTTATTTTTCTTATGGATCATTTAGTAAGCAAGGGAAATAATTAGAATTAATGCATTCTTGCTCATATTAACATTGATCATAACATTATTTCTTTTTTTTTTTGTGATCACAGTATAAATATTATAGTAGACCAGGAAAAGGAATAGTAAAATTTTATAATAGAGATGAACCTTATTATGAATTTACTAATTTTTATAGTCCAAAAAACAACATATTAATAGAAGATGTATATTGGCAAACTACTGAACATTATTGTAAGTAATTTATTGGATAATTTCATATCTCTATCAAAACTTTACTAACAATAAATTGGTTGATAGTTCAAGCGGCTAAATTTAAAGATCCATTAATTCGTCTAAAAATTCAATATGCAAAATCAGCAAGAGAAGCATTTACTATTGCTAGATCATATGATCTAGAGAAAAGAGTAGATTGGGAATTGGTATTGACAGAAGAAAGGACAATACTCAAAGAGTTAATTATGAAAAATGCATTAAAGAGTAAATTTGAACAATTTCCCAACTTACAATTTAAATTACTTTCTACGTGTGATGCTGAAATAATAGAACATACACAAAATGATAGATACTGGGGAGATGGTGGGAATGGCGAAGGGTTGAATAGATTAGGTCAACTATTAAAAGAAGTCAGGACGGAGATTTTTCAAACTGAGCGTAACAGATTAATTCTTGAAAATGGATTAGGAGGAGGCCGGGATCAAGGCCAAAGATGGATTATACATCATCTACAATGTTTAAACCATTTGAGCTTTGATGGTAATAATAGTGACTATAATCTATAAGTTGATTTATTGCTATTGATTAATATATAAATGTTGAATTGTGCTATTTTCGGAGTAAAATTGATATATGCAATGGAAAATCTTCAACAACTCGATTTGGATAATAAAATTTGGAAGAAACTTTAATTGTATATAATTAACAGTCGGCCAATTGAATTCAATTGAATAAAAAATAAATATTTAAAAATGTATGTGTCATATGTAATTCATGTAGTTTTCAAAAAGTTGAAGTTTCTATAATGAAAAATTATCAATACAACAATACTGTTCTATTCCACCGATTCCTTTTCCGATTTTCTCTATATTCATTATTATTACATCATTACCATATCGCCACATAAATTCCCACATTCTTGTAATGTAAAAAAACAGATACAACCAATCAAATTGATTAATTGATCTAATTGAACGAACTCAAACATTGTTGGACACGAATGTAAAGAATAAATTTTTCTTGAATATTCAAGAAGAAAATAAAAGCACAACATCCGTAATAAATATCATATTAGTATTATAATATATATTTACATATTTATATTAATTATTGTTGACGTATCACTTGCGAGTGATAAATACATTAATAAATAAGTAAAAATTTTACTTAAAAAAATAAGGGAGGATTCAAAAATTCGTACATATTTTAAATATATAAATAAATATAAATAAAATATGAATATGGAGGACGAATTGTCTAGATCTTTCTTTGATTCTAAACAATCATCAGACTCGGAAATTATTCAAGAAGTCAGCAAATCATTGTCAGCTTCTTTATTCACCGAGCCTTTAAACATTAACATCGGAAATCCTTGGGATCCCCCCTCTTCAATAAATGGAATTGATGTTTCCAATATTTTATGTAAGTTTTATAATTCTTTTTTTTTTTTTCAAAAGAATATATATTTAATAATTGCAATCACAACCATAATGATAATGTTGATAATGTTATTACTTCATTATTAGCCAATGTTTCTTTGCCTGAAATATATGCAACAGCATTTGCACTTACTTCTACAAATGGTGGGTCGGTTTCTGTTTCAGCATTAAACAAAGTTTTAAGCATTAGTGGTTTACCTCATGCGACAGTTGAAAAGGTAATTTATTCATTATTTTACTTGAAATGGTTATTGGATAATAATAATAATAATTGATTATAATTATTATTAGATTATGAATTTAGCAGCACCTGTTAATAGTACTCGCCTCAACAGAGGAGAATTCAATGTGGCGCTTGCACTTGTAGCTTTAGCACAAAAAAATATGGGTAAACAAAATTTGTGATCAATCTTTGGATAATTTAAAAATTTTGATAAGAATAATGTTATTTATAATATATTAAACATACTATTATTATTTTAAAAAAATTTTTTTTTTTTTTAGACGTTTCAATTGATAACCTGATTGAGAGAAAACATGGTAAGAATCAATCTTCAATTTTATTTTATTTTAATTTTTAGCAAAAAGAAAAAATAATTAATTCTCGATTCTTTATTAAATTTGATTTAGATCTTCCTGAACCAATTCTTACAAATATGGAAAGTATCAACTTTAATCGCAATCTAAGTTTCTCCACTATCACATCTCGTCCATCATCAATTCCAGTTCTTCAGGATGATGACCCTTGGGCTATTTCATCAGCAACAAATGGTATTGACATTATAACATCACCATCATCAACATCTGCTGCAATAGCAATATCAGGAGGAACTTCTTCAACATTTCCGCCAAACATATCAAATACAACAATACCACGATTTCCAAATGATGGTAGTGGCACAAGTACCATTTTACCAAATATTAATAGGACTTTGATACTAGATGATAGTGAATCTCATTGGTTTCAAAATGCGGATAAAATTAAAGTAATGTTCGCTCCTGAACGTGAAGGTTTTCTATTCAAACATATTAATTACATTGTTGAATCACAGGTAAATGATTAATTTATTTGAATGGGGAGAAATATATATAAATATTTTTATATTTAAATTTATAAATATGCTATGTGATATATAGCAGCGAGAAAGTAAAGTTATAAGAAGATATAGTGACTTTTGGTGGCTGATGGAATGTTTAGTGAAAAGATATCCATTCAGAATTTTACCTGCTCTGCCACCCAAAAAAATAGGAGGTAATATGATTTGTGTATACATTATTTGAATATAGTATAAATGCTTATATATATCAACAAAAATATCATTTGGTATTTTCTATTTATTATCAGTTAATGGATTTTATTTCACATATGATGAAACATTTTTGGAGAAACGGCGAAAAGGTTTAGCAAGATTTTTGAATTTTATTGCAAGGCATCCAGTTTTAAAGAGTGATGATTTGGTGGAAATGTTTTTAACCGAACAAACTGTAAATATAGATTGATTTTTACAAAAAAAAAAAAAAAAACAATACGTATTATACATTTATTCATACTTTTCATGCTTTTATGATTGTGATTTTACAGGAAATAGCAATATGGCGTAGGAATAATACACCAGATTTGGATGAAGAGTTTTTAAAAAAAGAAATTTCACCACAAATGGAACAACGCATACCTAAAGATTTGAATGCAAGATTAGAAATTGTATATAATAATTTGGATCGATCTATCGAACATTACGCAAATATGTGTAATTTCATGGAACGTATTGCTCATCGTCAGGAAGGCACAGCGTCTGATTATACACGTTATAGTTTGGCTTTAAATTCGTTGATTGAAAACGGGAAAGATTGTTATACGGAAAATTGTTATAATTGTTCACAGATGATGAATGGTTTAGAACAAATATCAAATCATTTTCAAAATGCAAGTACCATAATGGAAGATGCTGTAAGTAAATAATGACCAGTATTTTAACTAGCATTTAATATTTATGATTATTTTACATTATTATTATAATCAGTATTACAAAGTCATTAATGATTATTTATTTATTTGTCAATTAATTAATTAGGCTACATCTATTCTTGATACTGTTCTTGAGGATTTGAAGAGACACCGAGATTTACTTGTATCATTCAAGGTGTGTAGTGCTAATAAATAAGCGAATAAATAAATATATTGGTTAATTGCCAGATTGGTGTTATATTAATAATGATTTCTACTATATATTACCTATTACATTAATATTTATAAGGATATGTTTGAGAGAAGGGATAGATTAACAATTGACACTGTTGAAACTCTTAATAGTAGGATAGCAATAAATCAAGCAAAACTTAGACCATTATCAGGCAAAGAATCATCAGACCCAGAGGTGGAGAAATTAGCATCTGCGATCCAAAAGGTAATGTATATATTATATGTGTGTGCATAACATCTCCATATTTCCATTAATATTATATATTATACATTATAAATTTTATTTTAACGAGCTATTAATATAAAATATCTCATCATCCCATATCCTCATCATCTAATATCTAATATCTCTCGCACTTCATATTTTAGGATGAAGATGATATTAAAATTCAACTTGGAAAACAAATTTTTGTACGATATTGTATGTATTCAGAACTTAATCTGTTTCATGAAAGCTCAGCCTTCATCTCACTTCTATATCAAAAATTTATAAATGAACAAATGAAATACACTCAACAACTTTATAAAAATTGGGATGTATTAAATCCCAAAGTTCGTGAGATGCCAATTGAAACAAACGGATTTGGTTAATTTGGTACATTTTTGTGTGATTGATATAGGTGTATATGAGTTGTTTACATATTTGTTATTTATAAAATTTCTGTTTTATATTTATTTTGAAAATGAATTCTTGGATTTTTGATACAAATTCATAAAGCATATGATAATAAAACACTAGTTATATTATATTGTGTATATTTATTTTATAACAGACATTTTTTATTTTAATTAATTTGTCCAAATATATCAGTCCAAACGTATCAAGTAGAACTTTGATATTACCACCTTTCAACCAAACTAACCAATGATATTTATTTACTTTACATACCAGAGATAATAGTAATACTTATTACTAAAACTAAAATAATCTACATGATTTGTCCAATTCTTAAATCTACTTGTTCATAAATATATTTGAACTCTTGTTATCTAATAATCAAAACATTATAAGATTTTTATTTTACATGTACTGTATACAGTCGAACCTCGTTTCAACGAAGTGGCTGGACATATAGGATTAAATAAAATTCCAAAGTGAAATTTGGATTATTATTATTATATTATTTACGTTATTTATACTTTTACATTTTGTATTGTTTCAATTGAGAGTTTGTTTAGTTTAATATAGTCTGATTGATCTTTATAGATTTTATTCTCTCATGATAAATGTTTAATAGTGAATACCATACTCTTTCTTCATGAAATACTAGTATAGTAGCAGTGATGATAAATATAAGCTATCCAAAACTAGAGAGTTTTGCAACTGTGCGAAAGTCAAAATGTTTCGCCACATTCGAACTTTTGACTTTTGATATATAACTTTTAATTTTAGTTTTGACTTTCGCCTCTTCAAGATAGTTTTGGCGACCAACACTATTATTGATTACATCTCGAAAAATGATTTATATAACATTCCTTTATCATCATTATGTTTAGTTATCAATCCTTAGCATTTTTCCGTTTTTTAAAAAGTCACATTAACAAAGAGGAATTTTTTGATGCGCATTCCATATCTCATCGAATTCTTTTTAAAACATCCATTCATTTATTACGATGCTGCATAGCTCGACTCTGTATTATAAAGTCTCCTCTTCATAAAAATAAATGATAATTCCACTTAAATTCTCAATATTAATATCAATTTTTGTAAATAAATTAAAAAAAATGGCGCGCACAAAAATAATCTCAACAATTATGCAAAGTAAATAAACAAAACTCGATCAAATAATATTTTTGACCGTTTCCTGAAGAATTCTTTGACCATAAATCCCTCAATTCGTCAACATCCTTTTTTCAATATTATTTTTTATGATATATCACATATTTTCAATGGGATTAAGGTCAGGACTGTTGGATGGCCAGTCTATTATGCAAATTCTTTTCTCAAAAATGAAGGTTTTTGTAACACGTGATGTGTCCTTTGGATCATTAATCCTGTTGCAAACGCCATGTAATAATAAACATATTAATATACACAAGCGTTTATTATCATTCAAACAAGATATCCAATCGTTTTTGTCATGTGAAAATTTTTTCTTCATTTCTAAAATAAAATTTATGGTAAAAAAAAATTTTTATTTACTAAAAAAAATCCTCATTTGTCAATGTTTTTTCCTTGTTAACATAATCTTGATATTATCTTTGTTTCACTCATTGACTGTCACTATTTTGACGCCATTTTTTTTGAAACACACTGTAAATAGAGAAATAATAGATAATGGCTTACTCTAATCCTTGATTTTCTTGCCTTAACTCAATAATAGCATCTCATTATTCCAATTTTAGCTGTCAAAGCAAAATTTGAGATTCATCTTTATTCACTTTGAAAAACAAAGAACCTTATGCACAACATTCTATAATCATACCATATCTTTGTTAACATTTAATTTGATATTACTAATTAATTAGATATTATGTTGATTACTTAGATACTGATGAACAAACAACTATTACTAAATATTATCAAATTTATATTTAATATTAAAAAAAAATTAATCTTATATTTGGAATTTTATTTTTTGTATCAGCTTCATATGACCTTAGCTTATTAGTGATATCATTGTTTTTGTTGATGTTATTGTCAATAATATTTAATATTTTCAATATTAATACTATCTTGTTGAGGGATTCGGATCGAATCGAATCCGCGATCCAAAAAAATTTTAGTAAAAATTATTTAATAAAGATAAATGGAATGATCCTAAACCAAGTTTATTTCAAAACCAAAGATTTTGAGTGCGAAGGTGATAAAGATGAAGCTAATAGTAGTAATAGTAGTAGTAGGACTAATTAATATTAATATTAATGATTGTAAATTCGAAAATAGTCAGCCATTTGCATATATTAATATTAATATATAAATTTTTTGAAGATCAATATAATTTTATCTATCCATTTATTATTATTTTTTTTTTCCAATATAATGTCGACAAGAAAACCAGACAGGAAAGGAAAAAAAACTTTAAGATTGGAGAATGCTCTACAGGAGAAAGAGATGGTTGGGCGTCTATAATAAAATCTTTGTTTTTGGTCAAAAAAACCACTATATATATATATATATAACTAGGTAGCTGTTATTGATTATAGATCTTTTTTCTTTTCATAAAAATTTTTTTATTTCCCAACCACGCCTACTTTTTTGATCATATGAAAATGCATGCATGATTTTAGGGCAATGGATTCTTTAAACGAGGTAATTACGAATTGGCCATTGAACACTATGGAAAAGCTATAGAGCACGACCCCAAGGAATCAATTTATTTCATTAATCGTGCAATGGCTTATTTAAAATTACAAAAGTAAGTTTTCTCAACAATTTTATTTGCATTATATAATTAATTAATTGATAAATAAATAAATATATATTAGGTGGGAGAAAGCAGAAAAAGATTGTAATAGCGGATTGATATTGGATAAAAATAATGCAAAAGCTTTTTGGAGAAGAGGAATTGCAAGACGTGAAATGGGAAAATTAGACGAGGCAAAAAAAGGTTAGTTAATTAATTGATTGATTTATTTATTATTATGTGTAGAATATATATATATATTTATGTATTATTATTAGATCTCGAAGAAGCTCTTTTATTACAACCCGCCGATAAAGCCATTACTAGTGAATTAGACAAAGTTTTGGATGCTATAAGAATGGTAATCATATTATATGTATATATTTGAAGATGCAATGCCCATTATATAAAATTTATAATAATGAAACTTTCATTGATAAAATAAAGAGAGAGGAGAAATCAAATCAAAAATTATTATCTGAAAATAACAAATCAAGCGAAAATAATCAAGATACTCCTAATAAAAGAAGATTGTCAATAGAAATAGTTGAATTTGATGAGGATGATGATAAGATTGTTGAATTAGCCGGGAAAAAATCAAAAGAAGAAACAATTGTAAAAAATGGCGTTGATGTCATTGTTGAAAATAATAACATTAACAACATTAATATTAATAATGTTAATGTTAATAAAGACAATAATAATGATAGCAATAACAATAAAAACTCAACAGCAGCAACAGTAACAACAACTAATATTGTTGATATAAATTCATTAAAAATACCAAAAACTATTTATGAATTTGAGGTTGATTGGAAAAAATATGAACAAAATGATGAGAATTTATATCTTTATTTTAAGGTAATAATATTATATTTAGTAATTATTATATTTTATATGTACCACTTTTTTAATTATTAATTAACTTTTAGATAATGAATATTTAATTAATTTTATTTATTTATTTACATAAGATTATACCACCTTCTTCATATCCAAAGATATTCTCAGATTTCTTTGAAATTGGCTATCTTTTAAAAATTATGATTATTTTGAAAAAGTTCTATTTAATGCAAGTATTATTATTATTGTTATTATTATGGTCACTTGTTGTTTATTTATTTGAAAATTAAATCCTTACTCTTAACAAAAAAAACCAAATTTAGTCGTGATAATGCAAATGATATTTATGAAGTCTTGTATAATTTAAGTCGTGTCTCAAGATTTGAGATGATTTTAATGTTTCTCGAAAACGAGAAAAAACAAGGTGATACATATCTTCTTTTTATGGATATTAATTTGATAGTTATTAATTTGATAGTTATTAATTAATTATTTTTATTTATTATGTAAATAAAGAAATGAAAGAAATGATGAAAGGTCCATTCGATTTACTATTCAAATCAACTAGAGGTTCATCAAATCAACAAAATTTTACAATGGATGATGTATTGAAATTGACAAAAATATATGGTGTTGAATGAACCAAATTGTAACAAAAAAAAAACAAATCAATGATGATGTAATTTATTTAAAGTGTAAAAATAAACCAATTTATTTAACGTAGGAAATGAACATATTAATCAACTTACTTTTATCCAACTTGGCTGTTTAACCCAACTTGAAAAACATCACCAATATCTGCAAGGTTACGCCGTACCAGTTACATATAGCCAATTCACTGACAATAATATTTGATCTTTGCTATGTTTGCCCAAAAACCTTCCAAATTTGAACTGATTATAGCATCGATTATTAATTGATAAATAATAATAATTGTAATGCTAAAGAAGTCCAGGATTTTTTTATTGTAGTTAATTTTAGAAAATTGGTTTATTTTTAGGCGAGAACATTTATGTAAAAATTGTAAAATTTTAATATGGCAGTTTTTTAAATTTTGAATTTCTTATAATGGTAATCATTGGCCAAAACATTCTATTCTATTTTTCATATAATGTCGTAATTATTTAACACAAAAATGTGTTTGAGCTTAACCACAATAATATTTTGAAGTCACAAAAGAGTGCGGAAAACACAAAATTGTGGTAAAAGCACTCATATTTGAATTAATTGTACATAAAAAGCTTGGATTTGACATACTTGTAAAGTAACTTTGTAATAAATTAATTTAGGAATAAGTTAATAAAATTAGTTTTAAATAAACTAAACAAAATGTTTTCTTAAATTATTAAAACAAAATTCGCTGATAAAACTAATTCATTGGTAATAGCCAATACATTCTGATCACGTAATCATAAATTTATATTGTTATCATCAATTAATACGCTCTCCCAAATAATAATTGGTAACAATATATATAAATTAAGAATGGAGTTTGACATTGATATCACAGGTCAAAAAATCAGTAATAACTGTCATTTTCATTCAGCTTTATGGATTTAAGCTGAATCATCATTTTTTGACTAATGATAATAATAATAATAAAAAAGTAAATTATTGCAATTGAAACATATATTCAAAAGTCCGATTTGCTATTTCAATAATAAAAAAATTGTATATATAAAATAATATAAAAAATAATTAAATAAAAATTTCATATGATTGCTTAGTTCAGCCAATGTATCTAAATATCTAAATCCATTTGATTAGAATCTATAAATTGATTATAGTGTTAATTAGTGTTGATATTGATATTAACTTTAAAATTAAATCATCAAATAATTGACAATCAATTGATAATAATTACCATTGTTATTACCAATAATTATAACTTTTCTAGAGTTAACTGGTTGTGGAAGATTTGTAAATTCCAATAACCTGCTAGTATAAACAGCATTTGGATGAACAGTTGCTGTAATTGTTGAAGGATCAAATTCAATACCATACAATTCATCAAATTCTTCTCTAATTGATTTTGCTTCATCAAAAGTATGATTATGTGAAGGCCTATAACTCATTGCATCATCCCAAAATTCAATAATTTTTTTAATTTCAGTAGCAGTTGGTCGTTTATCTGGATCAGCATCCATACATTTATAAGCTAATTCAATATAACATCTTGGAGTATTAATTGAGAACCCAGGTCTTAAACCTTCACAAATCTTGATTGCAAGATCTCTATTATGAAGAACATTATTAAAAGGTTGTTGGCCTGTTGAGAGCACTGACATCAATACCCCACAACTGTATATGTCTGAAGCTCTTGTATAAGGTTTACCATTTAAAACCTCTGGAGCTAGATATGATAGTACACCATATATATTATTTTCATTTGATGTTAAAGATTGATCAGTTGGAATTGATAATCCTAAATCTGCAATGTATGGATAAGATCCATCTAGAAGAATATTACCACTATGAAGATCACGATGAATAATATTTTGTTCATGAATATTTTTTAACCCATTGATAATATCTTCAAGAATTTTAATTTTTTTTCTCCATTCTAACTTATTAAATCTATTATCCGTTAACAACCAATTTAGAAGACTTCCATCCTTTATATATTCTATTACAAATATATATTCTTCCGTGCTTGGATCTTGTGTTACTCCATAAATTTTAACAATTTCCAAAGATTTTTTATGAAATCTAACATAATTTTTGAACTAATAAAAAAAAATATAATAAGAATTTAATTAATAATGATTAATTTTCAAAATCAATAAATTTATTTACCTCATTTAAAAACTCATTAGAAATATTTTGTGAATTATGTAATTTTTTTAACGCAATGATTGTATCTTCACAATATCTTTTATTTTTATATTTTGTATTTTTTTTACCATTTATCCAAGTAGCTTTGTAAATAGTTGCAAATCCACCTTCACCTATCTTTTCAATGTTTTTTAAATCACCATATCGAACCCATTCAAGATGATAAAAGTTATTATATGATATTGCTTCAAGTTGTGTACTTTTTATTAACTCATCAATGACTCTATTACCACTGGTCCACCCTTCAGTTAACAGTTGTGGATCACATGACTGACACCATGAGCTACAAGTATTATATCTATTGCAAATTGGACATTCACCATATTCCTCTTTTCTTTCGTTTGAATATTCATCATCATTTGCGCCAAGAGAAATATCATTATAAGTATTAGTTATATCTTCGTTTGATTTATCAATAAATGATTTCAAAAAATTTTTTATTTGTTCCATTTAATTTTTTTTTAATCATGAAATATATTGTAAAATAGTAATTTATCGCGGGAAACTAATAATAAAACGGAAATGATTTACGAATTACGCGAAACGAAAATCGGAAGCGATTATCGCGGAAAAACTAAATATATCAATATATATATATCAAATGTTGCACGATCAACATAATAAACCAATATAAATATTCTAACAATCACAGGACATGTCATTTCTACTTCAAAACATAATAATTTTTGATGATCAACATTGAAATTTCATATGAAAAAATGTGAGTATTTCAATAGGACCAGGAAAACTCTATTAAATGTCACCACCAACACATGATTCAAAGGTACTTTAAAAAGAGGAAAGGTGACTGCAACACTACAATTCAGGTCAATAGAGAATTAAAGTAGAGTATAGTCATGTTATTTTTCATAACAACTGAAAGGATATATCATTTTCTTATGTCACATTAAAATAAATTATAATAATAAAATAATTTTAATAAAATGATCCATTCTTTTCAACAACAGTGCCATCTTTGAGGCCATAAATAATAATGATATAAAAAAATTATTTGTTTTATTTGTAAATATTATCTATTGAATGAAAATTATAACTCCAATATAACATTATCCTTTCTTTTATCTACTCCAATCATTCTATTGCATTAGGAATGACTCTTGGAATAATCCAGTGTTCAGTCATGAGTTTGCTGGATCTCAAAGTGAGGGTATCTACATGACTAATGTAATAGTACCTGGTATTCATGCTACTCTGAACAATCTCCTGCTAAGGAAGTCTACATTTGTCAGCATGTAAGTATAGAAGAAATTAATTAGTATTACATAGTATTTTTTGATATTTATATAGATTTTTTTAGTTCTGAATGCCAAAGTGTTGCAAGCACAGATAGGAGAGGCGAAGGGAAATCAGGAAGACAACCTGACATTATGTTTGTAGAGAAACATATTGGAAAATATTACAAGCTCATGTATATAGAATGTTCATGTTTATTTTGCACAACTAAAAAAGAGAATGATGATAGTGTGAAGTTGTGGCAAGAAACAAATGATGGGATGTATTGAATTTGTAAAAACATTAGGCCTAATAAGGACAAATTTGTGATACAAGTAGCTGGGCATAGGGTGCAACTGAATACTCTTGTTCAAGACATGGATAATTTAGATATATAGATATTTTCACTTATGTATTCCTGTGCAACAATCAGATCCTACAGTTGTGGCAAGATTTGTGAAGACTTTGTTGACTATGTGGAACATTTTAATCATTAATATGTCTTTGTTGAGTAATTCATCTATACATAGATCAGCAGATATATAGAAGACAATTCTACGGTATCTACCCCATAGATTTGTTTTATATTTATTTCTCTCATACTTCTTTGATTAATAAAGCTATCCATATAAATATCTGAAGAAATAAGCCAATTAATTGCTGTACACATTGTGAATATTCGAATCAGGATTATTTACCTCTAGATATCTTCATAGTTGAATACTGCCTTCGTATCTTGTGTGTTCATATTACTATTAATTATAACTATATTTTCATCTTCTATGATGTGCATATATTTAATCAGATTTTGGAATTGCATATACTGCTTAGGATTTGTAGTGAATCTACCTTGAGTTTTGCATCTGTTATTTTTAGATTTGCAAGACATATTTTATGTATAATGATGTATTATATCAAAGTATGAAACACATTAATGATGCCATCTGTAAATAGTTTGGCCATTCTGTAATATGACAACTTTTCAAGTATGCAGTTGTCAGAAAATCTG